TATTTACTCAAGTTATTTTCTTCAAAATATACACATATGTAGTAAAGAATATATTATAATGACAATATGGACTGTGGTCAAACTAATTTAAACGTATTTGATAGCGTTATTTGATATACAATGTACACTACTCTTCTTGCTCCTTGGTTTTAATAACGCCTTAAGCCTACTGACATTTCAAACTTGTTAATACTTAGTATATGAAAAATACTGTATGAATGTTACTGCACATACATTGTAGAACAAACATTTCAATAACAACACTAATTCTTTTAAAACTAGCAATGGTTAAGTTCTATCTGGAAAACTATGCCCATTTATCACACACATGATGGCAACACACTTTGTGTTTATTTCATTTCCAAATTACAAACCTTAAACTTAAAATAGAGAGTTCACCTTAACTTTTTATTTAAAAGAAACAAGTCAAGGAATATGACCCATCAAATTTTAACTCTGAAGAAAACGTCCTATAATCTAATAACAGTCACAAATTACAGCATTCACATATTCGTTTGATTCTTCTTATGATGTGAAATTTCGTTAGTCTCAAAACACAGTCCTTCAACTCCTAGGAAGCTGATGCTTCCTAGGCAGCTTCCTAGGTCGCACATGCACTTCCTAGGTCGCGTTCATGAATCACACATGCAGAGGGCTTCTCTGAGAAAGGCAAGTCTGCCCAGTGTCACTGCAACTCTTCCACATCTGCAAAGTGCTCCATTTTACAGCACCTTCCAAGTAATTCTCCTTCACTAGAACTTCTTTCATTTTTGAACACACATTTGTACTTTAAAGAGAGTATAATATATAGGATTTTTGATTCTTTAAAGGACTTGTTCATGTATTTAAACGCCACCTCCTTCTCTTAGATAATGTAGTCAAATACATATGATCACTAAACACTAAAACTAAAAAAAAAAAAAAAAAAAAAAAAGGTAAGATCACTAAGCATTAAAACTAAAACAAAAAACAAACAACAACAAAAACCAAGGACCCTTCTGTAAGACCCAGATGACAATCCGAGGAATTGCAATCTATTAAGGGAACATAGCAGGTATTCTCAGAAACAGATATTCCTAGATGTCTAACCACAGTACACTCAGGAGTAAGCACTTCCTAAGAAATATCATCTAATCTATAAAAGTGTGGTAATAAGTTCCATGTGTACCAAAGATTAAATATGCAACTGTGATTATTATTAATATTTAATCAGTATGCACTTGAATGATAGCCTTACCATTAACCACATATAAATAAACTACAACAAACCACACTCATATGAATTGAAATTTGAGATGGTAGTTTAGATTACATAAAATAACTAAGAATAAACTCAAACATATTTTGGATGTTACACAGAGAAAATTATTTTACTGTTCAAACATGGTGATTGAAGAGCTTAAAAGTTCAGAAAAAATAATTTATCTCTAGATTTTTTTCTTTAATGAGTACTCCCATTTTAACAAAGTGTTATTTTTACATACTAGTAAGACTAAAATATAAGATAGAGATAACATATTTGAGCACAGATAACAAGGCATCTGTGTACAGCTGCATGTATCTTTTTGAAGTGTTTAGGTTTATGAACCTCTCATATTGACTTTTAAAATCATGATCCAGTCATATTTTTTAGCATTGGGAAAGGGCATGAGATAAAAATCCTAAAATGTAGTAAAATACACTTACTTTTTAAAGTGTAGACTTTTACTATTAGCCATTATACAATACCTTCTCATTTTTTCTTTTATTTTTCTTTATGTGTCTCTGGATTTAAAGCAAAATAAATTATCGCAAATTAACTTTTAAACATTTCAAAGAGATTAAAACACAATGTGTTATTTTTCATACACAATCTCTACAAAGAATAGAGATTCAATGATAATATATTTATATGTTTTCACTTTAAAGATAAAAGTGGAATTTCATTCTAAGGTTTTCAGTTAACTTATCAGAGAGTATTGTTTGGAGGTAAAATACTTTATTTCTGAAGTATCCCATGAAGTACTTGTTACCAGGATTTCCTATGATTCAATATGTTTTCTAAATGAAAATTTTGAAATGAAAACATATGTAAATATACTCATTCTCTTTTTTAACCTCAGTTTAATATCACATATTCGGATTTTATATACACTTGATTTGAAGATAAGTTTATATAAATATTTTAAATATATAACTGAAAGCATATCTATATGACTGAGAAATGTCAAATCTATACTGTCCGGGTATATTTATTTTAAAAAACTACAAAAGAAACTATATCAAAAAGGAACTGTGTGTATGTAGCGTTTATTCTATCTGTAACAGAACACAAACGGTGCTAGTCAATAATTGTATTTTATTGACTATTAAGACTGTACTACTTTAGGCAGCTCTAGTAAAACTGAAAAACGTACTGTAAAATAGAGAGGACAACCAAAGTTGAAGTATTGGAGAATGTAGTGGAAGAGGTTTTAAATCAACTCATGATAAGCCAAACTACAGTTATAGATAAACTGAGCCCTACAGAGTGGAAATAATTAGTTGCTGGCATAGAGGCCAAGTTTAAAGCATTCTGGGCACTACATTTGAAAAGGTATTCACTAAATCTGAATAATTAAAATTTGAAAGAAAAACAGGTGATAGTATTTAATGACTACAGAATCAGTGAGTTTCATGTTTATAATGAAAGGTGAAATCAATAAATTCATGTCAACCTAAATGTAACTGGGAGTTACTGCTGAATATGAATTCGTGTATCTGTATAATAAAGGCAAATAAATATTTATCAACTCCAGTAAGAAAAGTGAGGGAGAAAGACCAAGTGTTATTCAACAGGAACAGAATCTGAACTTGTGGAAAGTTTCATCTTAAGAACCTAACAAAGACAAGGAATAAATGAAAATTAGTTATTCCCGCGTGGCTCATCTCACATGAGAAACTATCCAAACCTTGAAAAAGCCATGCAAATTCCATGGTAAAATACAAAAGCAGACAAGATAAGTCAAATTGGGTTTACAGAGTTATTTGGGTATCTTTAAATGATGCATATGTAACTTCAGTACACTCATATGTATATATTGGCACAAGCCATCCAGTCAATCTACATGTACAGCCTTAATAACAAAGTAAATGGATTAGTACCTGGTAGTAAATAAACACCGTGTCCTATAGGTGTAGAGCACCTATATGCCTGGTCAGGCAGCACAGCCATGTGGACGATGGGCTGCATTCTCACCTTCATCCCCACACATCCCCAACCAGTCTGTGGGGCCAGGCAGGCATGGGGCAGATGAGGGACCAGAGGGGTGCAGGAAGGGCACTTTCTGACCAAGGGACAAAAATGAGTTTCCCACATGGTTCTTCTCTAAACTCCAGAGATTTTGAAAGATCAGCACTGTATTCTAATGAACTTAAACACAGTGTGGGAATGGTGAAGTATTTCTCCCTTCACCTCAAGAATTACTAAGACGTATACATTACAACACATTATCCAATTAAGATTTCCACATCCTCTGGGAGGGCTGCAGAGACAACCACAGGGATTACCAAAATGTTGGAAAACAATACCTATGAGAAACCGGGAACATTCCAGGTTTACAAAGAGGGAACGTGCCTAAGCAGATATTTGAAGGATTTAAATTTGCCTTAAGGAAGGTTCTCCTGACAGTGTGGGTTGTTAAACATTAAAAGTGGTTTGCTGAGACTGCGGAAACTCCAATCCTGAGAATCTGTGGAAATAGGCAAGATGCAGACGTGCTGCTCGAAAAGGAAGGACGGAATGTGGGCTTCATTCAACTGCAACTTCCCACCTCCCTGATGACCGCGTAAGCTTAATTCTAAGGGTAATATAGACAGCGTTTTTCCACGTAGCACTTCGGAGTCAGTACCATTTAGTTGGGGGGAGTGTCACAGGGCATAAAAGCAGGTGGAGGAGTACTCTGTCATAAGGAATCCTAGTGATATCTCAGAGTACTTGCATTTTCTGGTTTTATTTTCTTTCTGATTTTCGATTTCTCATGCAAATCATCTGTGCTGCTTAATCAAAGTTATTTTATAACATGTTGTGGTTTTGAATAATTCACGCTAATGAAGTATTAAACTATTGTGGAAAGAGCTACACAAAACAAACAGGCAAATTAAGCTTTTCCTTTTTATATCACACAGACTGAAAATACTGTCTTCTACGTTACATGAGCAAAGTTGGGATACTTGGTCACTAAGAGTCTAAAACATGCATCCATGCACGATGTACACACACATACATACATATCAGCACCCTAAAAACCTTCATTTATAGTACCGAAGAATAAATCAATAAAATACTTGATTTAGATTCCAGAACAAAGCACTTTATAAAAAAAAAATAGTATGTGAATAAGTCAGTCCGTAACCAGATGGAATAGCTTACAAAGTTAAATAGCAGGCACTTAAATCGCGTGTTGATACGTTTGCATGTAATACAAAAACATTCCAATTCAGATTCCCACAGAGACCCTTTTCTTTCCCCTTAAAGAACCTACACGGTTAAGCATTAGATTTGATCAAGTTTTCAATCCCTTTCCTTTCACCATGGATCTGAAGCAAAGTCCTTGGAGTCTATTAACTGAAAGTAACAGCAGTATTATTAAATCTGATCACAAGAGACGACTTCACAAAAGTGCCACTCAAACTTTCCACACTGCCCAAATCAGAAGATTCCTTAAGTTGCCCACAGCTGAGGAGCTACCTGCTTAGCTCCAGTTCACCTCACTGGGCAGACAGCTGCATCCAGAGAAGTAAAGGTCTTCCTCGGGACTGTGCTGAAAATACGCACGTAAACACATCCTTCCCTGTGCAATTGTCAATGAACCGGACAAACAGACAACACACCAACATGTAAGACTTGTGCCTCGGAACCACACCACCCATTCACTGTATCTCCGCATCTCTCTATCTCTGTTTATGTGGGATTCTGAGCGTGTGTGTGTGTGTGTGTGTGTGTGTGTGTGTGTGTGTGTGTGTGCGAGCGCGCACATTACCGGAGAGGGAGATCCGTTCTTGCAGAGGGGCCCTCGGAAGACTCCTTTAATGCCCCGGTAGTGCCCATTGCTGAGGTGTCTCGAGCTGATGACCAGGTAACAAGCCATGTGGGTCCGGCGGGCAGCGCTGCCTCAACTCCTCAGCAGGCGCGCAGCCGAGGCGCCGCGGGCTGGTGTCTGGGCGGCAGCGGCG